CTTACCTGGGCTGAACTCTGAAAGAGCAAGCGCTCTGGTGGATGACCGTCAATCTCGAAGGTCGCCACCGACCATCCGCGATTGAGCCCTGCCAAACGCTCCATCTCAAACCGCTCCAGATCCTTACAGTTCCGGAGCTCCGAGATCACAAGAGGAGCAAGGCCGGGCTCTACGACTAGCTGAAGCAGGCCGTTGATGTCAACCTCGGCCATTCCCATTCCGCCATTCACGCGCCGAACGAAATGCAGCAGCTTCAACGCGAGCGAATTGAGGGGCGTGGCATTGCTCTATCCGGAGATGATTGTTGGCGGCGCGGCATGACTCCCTTCGGGCCGGCTCTCAGGATGGTCACTCGTGTCAGCCGCAGGAGCTCCTGGTTGTGGTTGATGTTCATCTTCAAGAGGCCCCTCGTTCACGTCGTTGGGAGTTTCGTCAACGTGAGCTTCAGGCACACGTGGAGGACCGCGCACACTGACGATGTTGGATGCGTTAGACGCTGTAGGTAAACCGGGAGCGGCTGGAGCGTCCGATAGAATGTCGTGGACGAATAGCAGAGCGTGAAGACCGTCGGTCGGTGCAGATCGCGTCGGCCTTGCCACGGCGGATAGTCCTTGGCAAGGGGTCCGCCGTGACTTATGACCGCCATAAACTTGGGCGTTGGGGAACCATCTGTTGCAGAACTTGCAGACGACGCCTGGTAAAGAGCCCGTGTGTTACGGATCCGTTATGGAGTCGAGAAATCGCCTATGAAGCTACTAGCCGTAATGAAGCTTGTGAACGCATTACGTACTCCGTTCAAGAAGCCTGTGACAGCTATACGATCATCGACAATGCGCGCACTGTGGTGGGCGGCTTGTATCACTGCACAACTGGAACTTGGCATCGGCGCTAATGTTTATGACTGGCTAACGATGTCGAGTTGCGTGGTCGTTACCAGGCACTATACAGACCGCCCACCTCACGGGCCGTCTTCCCTACAAGGCGTGTCGCCCCCGTTTAGAGTGACCACGACGTGAGCAGAGGAGAATGCGGAGGATCTTAAGTCTCACGGTCGTGTGTGTGCGTCGCGAGCACGGTGAGAAAGACGTGCCTATTGAATCAAGAACTTGTGTTTAGGAACCGTGCATGAGAGTCGAGGGGGATGAGGAAGAGCGGGAAGAGATCCGTTTGGATCTGTGATTGTGTCGCGAATCGATATAGGGGGGAAATCAGAATCGCGTAGGTGAGCTCAAGAGGCTTCAAACAAACATGGAAATGTAAATGTACAATTACAACTTAACAAGACACTCAAGTCATTCATAACTAGTAAACATTCATATCCTTAGGACTGATGTTGGACAACCCTTACTTGATAACGATACGGGAAGTACCCAATAACTCCATGCCCTAACGTATGATTGTTGCATGGAGCGAATACCTATAGCATGTCTTCTCTCGAGGTGTAGTGTACCTCTACGCACCGTGCTGAATGAATATGCAAGAATGGATGACAATGTCGTACAATAACACAACGGTTTCAATGTCCATGCAATGTTGGATGACAATGCAACACCATACCACAACGGATTCACCATGTCGCGCAACCCGCAGGCCTGAACGCTGCATTGTCGCACAGTCTAACCATGGCTGTCGATAACGCATCTACGCTTGTGCGTTGGGCCTATGCTTCATACAACTCCTTCTAACCACCTTGTTTAATGTCTGTGCAAGAATGGATGCCAATGCAACACCTTACCACAACGGATTCACCATGTCGCGCAACCCGCAGGCCTGAAAGCTGTATCGTCGCACAGTCTAACCATGGCTGTCGATAACGTATCTACGCTTGTGCGTCAAGCCTGTGCTTCATACAACTCCTTCTAAGCACCTTGTTTAATGTCTGTGCAAGAATGGATGCCAATGCAACACCATACCACAACGGATTCACCATGTCGCGCAACCCGCAGGCCTGAAAGCTGCATCGTCGCACAGTCTAACTATGGCTGTCGATAACGTATCTACGCTTGTGCGTTGAGCCTGTGCTTCATACAACTCCTTCTAAGCACCTTGTTTAATGTCTGTGCAAGAATGGATGCCAATGCAACACCATACCACAACGGATTCACCATGTCGCGCAACCCGCAGGCCTGAACGCTGCATCGTCGCACAGTCTAACCATGGCTGTCCATAACGCATCTACGCTTGTGCGTTGGGCCTGTGCTTCATACAACTCCTTCTAAGCACCTTGTTTAATGTCTGTGCAAGAATGGATGCCAATGCAACACCTTACCACAACGGATTCATCATGTCGCGCAACTCGCAGGCCTGAAACCTGCATCGTCGCACAGTCTAACCATGGCTGTCGATAACGTATCTACGCTTGTGCGTCGAGCCTGTGCTTCATACAACTCCTTCTAAGCACCTTGTTTAATGTCTGTGCAAGAATGGATGCCAATGCAACACCATACCACAACGGATTCACCATGTCGCGCAACCCGCAGGCCTGAACGCTGCATCGTCGCACAGTCTAACCATGGCTGTCCATAACGCATCTACGCTTGTGCGTTGGGCCTGTGCTTCATACAACTCCTTCTAAGCACCTTGTTTAATGTCTGTGCAAGAATGGATGCCAATGCAACACCTTACCACAACGGATTCATCATGTCGCGCAACTCGCAGGCCTGAAACCTGCATCGTCGCACAGTCTAACCATGGCTGTCGGTAACGCATCTACGCTTGTGCGTTGGGCCTGTGCTTCATACAACTCCTTCTAAGCACCTTGTTTAATGTCTGTGCAAGAATGGATGCCAGTGCAACACCATACCAGGACGGATTCACCATGTCGCGCAACCCGCAGGCCTGAAACCTGCATCGTCGCACAGTCTAACCATGGCTGTCCATAACGCATCTACGCTTGTGCGTTGGGCCTGTGCTTCATACAACTCCTTCTAAGCACCTTGTTTAATGTCTGTGCAAGAATGGATGCCAATGCAACACCATACCACAACGGATTCACCATGTCGCGCAGCCCGTAGGCCTCAAAGCTGCATCGTCGCACAGTCTAACCATGGCTGTCCATAACGCATCTACGCTTGTGCGTTGGGCCTGTGCTTCATACAACTCCTTCTAAGCACCTTGTTTAATGTCTGTGCAAGAATGGATGCCAATGCAACACCATACCACAACGGATTCACCATGTCGCGCAACCCGCAGGCCTGAAAGCTGCATCGTCGCACAGTCTAACCATGGCTGTCGATAATGCATCTTCGCTTGTGCGTTGGGCCTGTGCTTCATACAACTCCTTCTAAGCACCTTGTTTAATGTCTGTGCAAGAATGGATGCCAATGCAACACCATACCACAACGGATTCACCATGTCGCGCAACCCGCAGGCCTGAAAGCTGCATCGTCACACAGTCTAACCATGGCTGTCGATAACGCATCTACGCTTGTGCGTTTGGCCTGTGCTTCATATAACTCCTTCTAAGCACCTTGTTTAATGTCTGTGCAAGAATGGATGCCAATGCAATACCATACCACAACGGATTCACCATGTCGCGCAACCCGCAGGCCTGAATGCTGCATCGTCGCACAGTCTAACCATGGCTGTCGATAACGCATCTTCGCTTGTGCGTTGGGCCTGTGCTTCATACAACTCCTTCTAAGCACCTTGTTTAATGTCTGTGCAAGAATGGATGCCAATGCAACACCATACCACAACGGATTCACCATGTCGCGCAACCCGCAGGCCTGAACGCTGCATCGTCGCACAGTCTAACCATGGCTGTCGATAACGCATCTACGCTTGTGCATTGGGCCTGTGCTTCATACAACTCCTTCTAAGCACCTTGTTTAATGGCTGTGCAAGAATGGATGCCAATGCAACACCTTACCACAACGGATTCACCATGTCGCGCAACCCGCAGGCCTGAAAGCTGCATCGTCGCACAGTCTAACCATGGCTGTCGATAACGCATCTACGCTTGTGCGTTGGGCCGGTGCTTCATACAACTCCTTCTAAGCACCTTGTTTAATGTCTGTGCAAGAATGGATGCCAATGCAACACCATACCACAACGGATTCACCATGTCGCGCAACCCGCAGGCCTGAACGCTGCATCGTCGCACAGTCTAACCATGGCTGTCGATAACGCATCTACGCTTGTGCGTTGGGCCTGTGCTTCATACCACTCCTTCTAAGCACCTTGTTTAATGTCTGTGCATGAATGGATGACAATCCAACACCATACCACAACGGATTCACGTTTGTACTATTGATAATCGTATTAGAATGTCGTTTGCTGGCCCTAAACCATTGTGGCAAAGCCTAAAAGTGCAGAGTACATCTGTCACGAGTAATAATTCTGGACGGTCGTTGTGTGTGTGACGTAAGAATCACCGATTAACTTACCCCAACCCCGTGGTATACCATTTGCAACTGAGAGTTTGATGAAATGCATTGTTGTATGTTTGAATAAAATTTTGTGATTTATGCGTTTGCAACCGTAATTGGCCGACGCATCTCAAACGATTCCCCCCGCAACACAGTCATCAGCCAAGAGGTATTTCAGCCATTGAGCGGCTGAGATCGAGCGGTAGGTGGGTTTATGCTTGGGTGGCTACACGTACACCGTCCAATATAGCCTGTTAGGGTTACATTACTCTCTCTAGTCTCGCAACCCACCCCAACCACCCTAGTGTCCCACCCACCTGCTTCCGTCACTCCCTGGACCAACACTTTGACGCTGCTCGTTGCCTTGACACACGCCTCTCCAGATCGGCCTTAGCGCGTAGCATAGTGGCTACTATGACAGATTTAGTTGAAGCGGCGGTTTTCGGAAACACATAACAGTGATAGACCGTCGATAATCCCATCGTGGGATTCAGTTGCAGAACCCTTTCGAAAGCGGCTCAACCCTTCCGCACGATTTGCAACTTTGCTCCTCCTACAATTACCATGACACGTGCAACACGTAACCAAGCAATGGAGGAGGAACAGGCAGGCCGCTGCGCGACAAGGAGGATGTCTAAACAAATCGATAGGGATTGTGGTGGCGGCGCTAAAAAAACTAATGCGTCCGTCGCTCGTGGCATTGGGCAGAAAAAAGTGGCGGCAAAAAAGGTCGCGCGCGGTCAACAGGAGGCCGGCAAGAAAGCGGAAGACAAGGGGCCTAAACCAACACCACGCAAGCGTGTTTCTACAGTGAACAAAGATGCGGATGTTGCCTCTGCTGGAACCGAGCCCGGTCTGAGTAAAGACGGCACCACTGGCGGCAACGAAGATCCGGGGCGAGGGAGCGCAAGTCTTGCACTCCCGTCGGCGGAGATGGAGGGATCGGCGACGGAGGGAAATCACGGAGGCGATCCCCGCGCCGAGCATGCCGCAACCAAGGAGTCCGAGGCGGCGGCAACGCAACACCATCTGACGCTGCTCCAGCCAACTGTGGTCGAAGTTTCTGCAGCCGTGTTGGATAAGGACAAGGTGGGGGAGCACGAGTCGGTGGGGCTGGTCGGTGGCTCTCCACCTTCTGGTGGACGGGGGAGGCGTAGGCAGAGGAAGAGCGATGGGGAGGACGATTATGACACCGCCGTGCCCGGGGACCTCATTATGCGGGCGAAGAGGCGGCAGACGACAGGTAGTGCTGACGACGCCGGAGGCGCGGCAGTTGGGACACCGCGAGGCGCCAAGGAAGCTAGTGGCAAGGCGGGCAGTCAAGCATTGCGCCAAAAGGGCCGACCCGCAGCAAGAAAAGCATCCGATGGAAGGAGAGGCAAGAAAGCAGCGACGGGAACAAAGCCGAAACGGGGCGATGAAGACCCCGGTGATGCGGAGGAGGAGGAGGATGAGGAGGAGGATGCGGAGGGAGAGGAGGATGAAGAGGAAGCGGAGGAGGATGACGCGGATGTTGGGGAGGATGAAAAAGATGAGAATGATGGCGGGGAGGACGAAGAGGAGGAGGAGGAGGAGGAGGAGGAGGAGGAGGAGGAGGAGGAGGATGAGGATGAGGAGGAGGAGGAGGTAGAGGAGGAGGAGGAGGAGGAGGAGGAGGAGGAGGAGGAGGAGGAGGCAGAGGAGGAGGAGGAGGAGGAGGAGGAGGAGGAGGAGGAGGAGGAGGAGGAGGAGGAGGAGCAGGGTGACAACGAGGAGGATGTGGAGGAGGAGGAGGAGGAGGAGGAGGAGGAGGAGGAGGAGGAGGAGGAGGAGGAGGAGGCAGCGGAGGAGGAGGAGGAGGAGGAGGAGGAGGAGGAGGAGGAGGAGGAGGAGGAGGAGGAGGAGGCAGCGGAGGAGGAGGAGGAGGAGGAGGAGGAGGAGGAGGAGGAGGAGGAGGAGGAGGAGGAGGAGGATGTGGCGCCAGTGAAGGGACGGGGCGGGCGTGGCAGACGGGTGAGTGGTACAGGGAAGGAGGGGGGCCGGACTCGCCCTTCCCGAAAACGCGGGGCAGTTGACGCTGCGCGCGGCGAAGCATCGGGCAAACCGAAGGCGCGTAAGGTGAAGGTCGAAAGTGAAGGGGTTGGTAAAAAGCAAGGGAGCCAGGGAGCAAAAGGGGATGGAGGAGGAAAGGGTGGCCGCGCCAAAGGGGTTCCAGTGGGTACCAGCAAGAAAGAACCTGCCGGTAAACGTCGCAGCGTCCGCCAAAGCACCCCGCGGAAAGGTGGCAACGAGAAGGCGCAGGCTGCCCCAAAACCGAAGGGACAGCAGAAAGGTGAGCATTGTGTCCAATAAAACTGGCGTGACGTGTTGAACCATCTGCTAAACCGTGCCAAAAAACACCCTTCTTTCACATTGTTTCTCCCATGCAGGGAAGGAGAAGGTCGACGAATCTGCCAAGCAAGGTAAACCCTCTTGTCTCAAACCAGTACAACCCTGAACCCGATCTAGATTCAAACCTTTCTGAATATGCATGCATGTCTGGCCCCGCCTTGAAACCGATCGACTCTAATTTTTTTTTTTCGGCTCCCTCTACATCTCAGCCCCTCGCGTTACAGGCATTGGGCCGCCCGTAAGCGTGCAACGAATGCATCTAACGAAGGCTGCCAGAAGAGCGAGTGTTACACCGCTCTCCTCTAGAGCACCAAGGTACTACACGCCATGGGCCGGCCCGAGCAAAGACGCTGCGACGGCACCAGGCGCGCCAAGAGGAGAGGAATCCGAATCCCCTCCACCCGCCCCCGTCACGCAGTCCCCACTCGCCTCACCCTCGTACCAATTTCGGCAACTCCACGCTTCTCCTGTCCGGGGCAGGGCGGTCTCCCCTCTCGCTGATCCTTCGGGCGGGCATCAGGCAGGCAGTTATGCCAATCCCTTCCCTGAGCTCCCCTTTTCCCGCCAGCGTGATAGTGTGAGGGCACATGGGACTGCTGCAGAAGACGTTGATCCCCTTGGCCAGAGGGGGGATTCTTCACACCCTTTTCCTCTGCTCATGGGTGCCCTAGGTGAAAGTGCGGAGCACGAGCATTTTGTTACACGGGAGGAGTTCCAGGCGCTGCGGTCTGAGATGTACGCCATGTTTGCACAGCTCGGCCTGCGTCGTGGAGTACCTGCCAGCTATGCCGGCGGGTCGGCAGCCCTGCCTATGGCTGGTACCCCGCCGCCGATGAGCGCCGTGGACAAGGCACGAGTGCTAGTGTTGCAGGAGACAAACCCATTCCCGGTATGTGGCGGGCCACATGGGGAGGGTTGGGGTTGACGTGGCAACAAGGGCGGGGTTGGGGCTGACGTGGCGGTTTCGAAGGGAACACGAGAGCGGCGCGTGACGAGGCGACGCGTATCAGGTGGGTGGGGGGTGACGTGGCATGGGGTGGGTGGGTGTGACGTGGCAAGTGGCGCGGGTTGTTGGTGGACGTGGCGGATGCGGGTTGGGTGTGACGTGGCAAAAGGTGAGGGTTGGGATATGACGTGGCGGTGTGAAAGGGTGCAAGGGAGTGCCGCATGACGGCGCGAGGCGTTTCAGGTGGGTGGGGGGTGACGTGGCTCTTGGTGGGGGGTGTGACGTGGCAAGTAGGGCGGGTTGTTGGCGGATGCAAAAGGGTGTGACGTGGCAGAATGTGAGGGTTGGGGCTGACGTGGCGGTTTGGAATGGTACACGGGAGCAGCGCGTGACGAGGCGACGCGTGTCAGGTGGGTGGGGGGTGACGTGGCATGGGGTGGGAGGGTGTGACGTGGCACGTGGGGCTGGTTGTTGGTGGACGTGGCGGATGTAGGAGGGTGTGACGTGGCACGTGGGGCTGGTTGGTGGACGTGGCGGACAAGGAGGGTGTGACGTGGCACGTGGGGCTGGTTGGTGGACGTGGCGGATGCAGGAGGGTGTGACGTGGCGGAAGGTGAGGGTGGGGGATGACGTGACGGATGCAGATGGGTGTGACGTGGTGGAAGGTGAGGGTTGGGGATGACGTGGCACCCTAAAAGGGTACACGTGAGCGGCGCATGACGAAGTGAGGCGTCTCAGGTGGGTGGGGGGTGACGTGGCTCTTGGTGGGGGGTGTGACGTGGCAAGTAGGGCGGGTTGTTGGCGGATGCAAAAGGGTGTGACGTGGCAGAATGTGAGGGTTGGGGCTGACGTGGCGGTTTGGAATGGTACACGGGAGCGGCGCGTGATGAGGCGACGCGTGTCAGGTGGGTGGGGGGTGACGTGGCATGGGGTGGGAGGGTGTGACGTGGCACGTGGGGCTGGTTGTTGGTGGACGTGGCGGATGCAGGAGGGTGTGACGTGGCACATGGGGCTGGTTGGTGGACGTGGCGGACAAGGAGGGTGTGACGTGGTGGAAGGTGAGGGTTGGGGATGACGTGGCGGATGCAGGTGGGTGTGACGTGGCGGTTAGAAATGGTACACGTGACCACTGCGCATGACGAAGCGAGGCGTGTCAGGTGGGTGGGGGGTGACGTGGCTTGTGGTAGGGGGGTGTGACGTGGCAAGTGGGTCGGGTTGTTGGTGGACGTGTCGGATGGCGCAGGGTGTGACGTGGCAAGTTCAAACAGTGTTGCTAGTCACCATCCCATGGTCACGCGGCCACCCTCATAACTGCTGGTTTCTCTCTTCCATGTCGTGTTGTATACCTTACACCCCTGCGCAGAACAAAGCCTACTTAGTGTGCTCTCAGCTCATGTTTCAGAACCCGCCGGAGAAAATACAGTACTACCCTGCACCGGAGGAAGTGTTCGAAGCGTTCTCTGTCCACTTGTCTGCAGAAGGGCTCGAGGCAATGAAGCTGCTGTGGTTGCACAATGACAAGTCAACCATGGGAGTCTTCAACCACCAGCTGTCCTCAACAAGGTCAACTATCAACTCCACCCTCAGGCCAGCAGCATACACCGGCATGGGCCTTGCCGATTACAGCCATCTCGTGGATAGCCTGCCCACTGAGCTACACCCAACGACCTGGTTCGACGACGATCAACTCCTAGCCGAGTACAGAGATGGTATGTGCAGTGCAACTCGAAAACACAATATGCCCTACCATATGCCCCTTGGCAGCTACATATCACCGTGCGATGTGGCTCACCCTGACTCTCATCCCCCCATTTGATTTCTCTACAAAACCCTTTCCAACCCATACCCTCCCTGCCAAAAAGCAGAACAGTGGGCCCTCAATTGGCACTTTGACAAGGCCACCGGGACACCCTTCAGCAACCCCTTGTTCGCTTATGCGTTCAAGCTCTCCTTCAAGAGGGGCGGGGCGGTGTTCACCAAGTTCAAGAGCCGCATGGTGGCATGGGGCCTGTTTTCGGTAAGGATGTAGATATGTGTTTGTATCCCCATGCCTCATCCCTTAAACCCTTTGCCTATACTTCAGCTAAAACCCTGGTCGATTAGGCCTTTGCAGTTATGTAGATAGTGACGACTGCATCACCGCTTTCAGTTGCCTCATTTACCCGTAACCTACCCTCCTCATAAACCATCCACCCAACCCTACACCACATTGCAGATCGAATGGCCCCTTCTGCAGGATAAGCGTCGCAAGCGAATCAGTAGCCAGCCGGAGCAGAACAGGCCTGACTACCAGAAGTGGTGCGAAAAGTTCAAACAGATGATCCATTTTGCTGTCGTGGAGCGGAGGATCCCCCACGATCCGGCTTTGGGTGCGTTAGTCTTTCCGAACAAGTTCCTCATCGACGACGGCGACCTTGGAGATGTCGTCCTTAACCACCGGGCGCTTTCAAGGCCCGCCAGTGCGTAGGCTATTTGACCTGGTGCTAAGACTGCTTGTTGCTAGAATGCTGAATAATGGTTCTTGTAAACCGCAATAATGAATGCAATTTTGAAATCCTCAATATCCAAAATGAACAAAAACAGAATTTAGTTCTGAATAATTTGGTCACGAATTTGCAACAAAACGGATTGCCCCGAATGTCATGCGGAAAAGCTCGCGTGCCAAATTGGAACTTGAACCGAGCCAAACCTTGTCGCAAGATGTGTCTCGGAGCTCCTATCAAATGACTCCAACCGTCGGTCCAAATTGGCTCCGGATTTTTTTACGCGAAGACAATCGAAATCAAAATTCGTCCAAACTTGGCATAGGGTTTTTGTGATGTGAGTCTGAGTCTGTCTGTCCTCCGTCCGCCGGGGGTGAGTGTGCTCTTAGCATAGACGTCCTTGAGGACAGGCAGGAGGACCTTGAGTGTCTTGCAGCCGTTGCGCCTCATCTCATGGCCATGCTGCTTGCCCTTGAGGGAGACCCGGATGCTCCAGACATCCCGACCCCGCGCTCTTACGCTGAGGCGATCGTGGGTGAGTACTCCTCTCGGTGGCAGATAGCCATGGACGCAGAGATGGCATCCTGGAAGTCCACAGACACTTACGTCAACGCAGTTCCCCCTCATGGGGCGAACATCATTGATGACATGTAAATTTTCAGGGTGAAGCGGCCGCCAGGTTCTCCTCCTGTCTTCAAGGCGTGTTACGTTTCTCGGGGCTTCAGTCAGTGGGAGGGAGTTGACTTCTTCCAGACCTTCTCCCCGACCCTGAAGATGACCACTCTTTGGGTGCTGCTGCACGTTGCCGCTCAACGTGATAACGAGCTTCACTCCCTTGACTTCAGCACAGCTTTCTTACAGGGCAGCCTGCACGAGGAGATCTGGCTGCGCCGCCCACCTGGCTTCACTGAGTTGTTCCCTCCTGGTACCCAGTGGAGCCTCCGGCGGCCAGTCTACGGTCTCCGCCAGGCGCCGCATGAGTGGCGTGACACACTGAGGATGGCACTTGCGGCTCTTGGGTTTGCTCCTTCCACTGCTGATCCGTCACGGTTTCTGCGCACCGACACTTCGTTGCCGCCGTTCTACATCCTCGTGTACGTCGACAACTTGGACTTTGCCACTGCTGACACTGAGGCTCTCACCCTAGTGAATTCGGAGCTGCAGAAGAGACACACGTGTACAGACATGGGTGAGCTGCGCAGCTATCTTGGCTTGCAGATCACCCGGGACAAAGCACGCCGCACCATCACACTGACTCAGTCACACATGGTGCAGCAGGTCCTTCAGCGCTTCAGCTTCACCTGGTCCTCGGCACAGGCCACTCGTCTGGCTACATGTCACTCGCTCTAAGCTCCACCTTCGGACGAGTCCATAGAGCCGAGTGGTCCTTACCCAGAGCTAGTGGGGTGCCTCATGTACCTGATGACCTGCACTCGTCCTGACCTTGTGTACCCTCTTGGCTTTCTGGCTCGCTACGTGGCTCATGGTAGGCACCGAAAGGTGCACATGGATGCTGCTAAGAGGGTATTGCGCTACTTGTGCAGTACATCGGGCATGGGGCTCGTGCTTGGAGGACGGGGCGACGTTGTCCTCACTGGCCACTCGGACGCTTCTTGGGTTAACGACCTGGCTACGCAGCGGTCGTCACAGGGCTACACCTTCAGTCTTGGCTTTGGCTCTGTTTCTTGGCGGTCTACACGCTCTTCTTCTGTTCTCAGCTCCAGTTGTGAGGCTGAGATCTACGCCACAGCCATGGCTGCACAAGAGTTACACTGGCTCACCTACCTACTGACCGAACTGGGAGAGAGGCCTCGTTCTCCTCCAGTTCTGTACGTAGACAACAAGGCCGCCATTGCCTTGTGTCAGGAGCACAGACTGGAGCACAGAATGAAGCATATCGCTCTTCGTTACTTCCTTGCTCGAGAGTTGCAGCAGCGTGGTCAGCTTTGTCCTGCTCACGTGGCCACTCGGGCCAACACTGCTGATATATTCACCAAGGCACTTCCGTCTGGTGATCATCAGCGTTTTTTTACTTTGTTAGGCCTTGTGCCGGCGTTTCCTCACTTGTTGTAGACTTTGCTTGTACTGTGATCTATAGATATACCTGCAAGCTTGCTCTGGTAGGTAGAGATCACTGTGCTGTTGTTGTTGCATATATACCTCTGCATGTGAACTGGCATAGTGGCCCTTTGCTTGTGCTCAGTGTGTGTGGTGACGTTGTGATCCACCCTGAGCTTGCTTTGTTTCTCTTGACTGGTCTTGTGACCCCTTGCTCTCCCCCACTTTGACTATGGGGGTGTGTCAAATTATATGTATCCTATATATGTTTAGGCTGTAATGGGGTAGCCAATATGGGGTACAACCCCTTTTAGGGTTTCATACTTGTACCCAACACTTTCCTAGTTGATCCATTCCTGCCTAGCATTTTAGACAGATACGTAAACTGTTGCTTATCGTACCGTGTTCCGTGCGTCATATATGGCAAGGAACCGCCGA